CTCTTGGCCAGCGTCAGATTGGTCAGTGGGTAACGGTGCCGCTGACTGGGGTATTGGCAGTATACAGTCCAGTGCTAAGAGCGATTCTGGGTGCTGGGATGTGCTCGATACCGGGGTCCTGGTACCAAGTAATGGGGATTGTGGTTCTTCCTCAATCATCAAGCTTCCAGGGTACCAGAGCTAATGCAGTACCATGGGTTCATTTGGTACCACAGAGGAGGGTCCATGGTACGTTGTCAGTACCAATATTTGGGCAGAGCACTCCCTAAATGAGAGTCGGTATCAATGGTTGGGAAGGTGCAGAACACTTCCTAGATGGGAGTTTTGTTGCACCTGGTACCAAAGGGTTTCTCTATGCCGCTCTTTTAGAGATGGGTTTCAGAGTAACAGCCATGTTAGTCTGTATTCGCAAAAAGAAAAGGAGTACTTGTGGCACCTTAGAGACTAACCAATTTATTTGAGCATAAGCTTTCATGAGCTACAGCTCACTTCATTGGATGCATACTGTGGAAAGTACAGAAGATCTTTTTATACACACAAACCATGAAAAAATGGGTGTTTACCACTACAAAAGGTTTTCTCTCCCCCCACCCCACTCTCCTGCTGGTAATAGCTTATCTAAAGTGATCACTCTCCTTACAATGTGTATGATAATCAAGGTGGGCCATTTCCAGCACAAATCCAGGGTTTAACAAGAACGTCTGAGGAGGGGATGAGAGATGGTACGGTAACTGTCCCCTCTCCTTAGGGGACGAGAGATGGTACGGTAACTGTCCCCTCTCCTTAGGGGACGGTACCAGTACCGTTGCCTCAGAGCATGACGGTGGAAGCCTCTGGTGTCTCAGTGCGAAGCAGAACTGACAGCAGGGCTTCTCTGTGGCACTCTTTTAGAGATGGTACGGTAACTGTGCCCTCTCGGTGCAGTAGTTGACCAGAATAGAGCTCAGAGCAGCACAGAGCTCACAGAAGCCCCATGTCGGTACAGAGAGCAGAGCTCAGAGCAGGGCAGAGTTCACGGCAGGAAGCCCCTTCTCAGGTTTCAGCTTCCAGAGCTTGGGTGCCGAACAAGCTCACAGCAGGAGGTTCCTCTGCTGGTATTGGCTGCACTGGGGAACACCCCTCTGGCTGGCCAGTTGCTTGGGGGTCGGTGCCGAGATGGCCGCACTGGGGAACACCCCTCTGGCTGGCCAGTTGCTCCAGGATCAGTGCCGAGATGGCACAGCCTCCCCTAACCGGCCCTCCATACAATTTCAGAAACCGGATGCGGCCCTCAGGCCAAAAAGTTTGCCTGCCCCCGCCTTACACGCTGCTTCCACACATAAGCCTGCAAAGCTCCGTATATTGGTCCCGATCCCCAGCTGGCATACACAGACATAGGTTATGGCAATTTACACCATGTGGGGATGTGGCTTGCTGTGTTCAGTAGACAGAACAATGTAGAATAAATGGACCATTGATAGGATAATACCTACCTTGACAAGGCGCTGCGCAAATTAATGAGGGCTTGTGAAGATCTTTGAGATCCTTAGCTGTAAAGAGACCAAGCAGCCTTTTCTTGTCAAAGAACACAATCTAAGGGCCTGACCTCAGCCGGTGTAAAGTGGAGTATCTCTGCTGTAGTCAAAGGGGCTCATCATAGAGATAAGGATCTGTATGCAAAGAGCCGACTGAAGAAGATCTAGGCCTTTAACATGAGCATAACTGGCTCCCAAGAACAGTACTCCAAGAACAGTGTATAATCATAACCATCCATTTCTAGAGGACTCTGCAAGGCAGCTACAATCTTTAAGACTCGTCTCAATGGGCAGTGTCCATTTACTAGGAACATATTTTAAAAAAAAAAAACCCTAACTAAATAAAACCATTTTATTTTAAAGATATTTTAAAGATAGAACATTCTGTGCAAGCTACTGCTGTCTCTGCCTGAGACAAAACATTCTTCCAGATATTTTAATTAGCCTGCTGCTTATTTTTTTTAAAAAAGTTCATTATAAGGATCCATCAGATCCAGCCTAGTTCAGCTTTGGCTAGAATGATTAACTGGCATCAAACGACCATGCTTAGGAACAAATCACTATAAAATCACCTCTTAATCCTATCTTGCTTCCATTTTTCCACTGAGTTCAATAGGCCAGATACTGCCACCCCAACTCTTAGTGAGTACTACCTGTCCCACAATTAGATCCACTGATTCCAGTGGGACTAATTGCAGAGTAAGTTACTCAATGGGCCTGGCCGAGCGCCCACTGAAGTCAGTGGAAAGAGCCCTATTGACTTTGATGGGATCTGGATCAGGGCCAATGTAACGGGGGGCAGAATCTGGCCTAGTCACAGGAGCAGAATTTGGGCCCATAGTCTGTCAGTCTAATCTATTTGGGCATTTATATAGCACTACCCACTGTGGTATTTAGGCATAATTCAAGTACAGTTGTGTTTGTGTAACCCACACACCGCCTGGGTGTGGTGTTCTGTCCCATCTACTGGCACCGAGACCACTTAGAGAGAGATTAATGAGTCTGCTCTACAGCCTTAGCTAAGGGCTATGTAGCTTTTAGCTCATGCAGTAGAGGCTCATGCATTTAGCTTCAGAGGTCCCAGGTTCGCTCTCACCCGCCGACAGCTGGGGTCTGTCGGTGTTACATTTGCAGTTACATTTTAAAACAGCAGCTCTTGCAATGACATGTTAAAATGCAAAATAAAACCTAGGGACTAAATCCACAAAGGGATAAGGTATCGCAATGCGCAGTGTTGCGGCATCTAACTTTGAGACGTCTTGCCACCCAGTGGAATCCACAGTCCTGAGTTAGACTCCCAGACTTTCTATACAATGAATGGGGAGAGATAGGTGCGTAAGAATGAAATCCACAACAACCAGCATGCTGAGCAGAGCTAACCAATAGCAGATGCCAAGGAGAGGGTATGGCCTAAGCCCCGCCTCTCTCAGGGAATTAGCGCCTAAATCCTTTTGTGGATCTGGGCCTCAACCTCTACGTTGTCGTTGTGCTAGGTTCACAGACATGTTCTCCCCCTGATACTGCAAAGGCAGGGAAAGAAGGAGTGAAAAGATGCAAACACAAACAACTCCACACATTTCTTTTCTACTCTTTCCATTCAATACCTAATTTTCATGTCAGGTGACATGAAGCTGCCAAGCAAATTCACTTCAAGTGAGTGATTTAAAATATCCCAGATGACGAGAGTTAAAAAGCACAGTGAAAGGTTAGATGCTACCCGTGACCTCATTCAAAGAAACCATTTGTTCGTGGAAGGCTTTAATAGGAAAGATCACATCCTACCTTTATTTCATGTGCAGAACCCCCACTGAAATGAATGGCAGTTTTGAGCAAAATTCAATCCCAGAATTCATTTTTGTGCTGCATTTAAGGAAAGTTTAGACTCTTCCTAAGTGCAGAATGAAAAACAGCAGCTGAAGGTTAGTTTCATATTTAAGAACTTTGGGCCAAATGCTGCTCTCAGTTACACCAATACAAATGTGGAGTAATTTCACTGATGTCAAATCCAGAGTAACTCTATTATCTCATATTCATGGGGCCAGAGAAAGAGCGAGAATGACTCTGCTGGCCAGTGTTTAGGGCACTCACCTGGGAGAACCAGCTTCCAGTTCCTGCCCTGCTGAGTATTTAAGGATTTCATAGTGGAACAGCTTCACCAGGAGAGACTGAGAAACCCCCAGGCCAGAATGACCTTTAGCCCAAGGCTTACGGCACTCACATGGGAATTGGAGACATGGGTGCAAGTCCTTGCAAAGGGGATTTGAACCTAAGCCTCCCACATCTCAACTAACCCCTGGCCCACTGCATCTGATCTGCTGTGCTCTTAGGCAGCATCTGAAAATGCCCATGGACCAGACCCCACAGGCCACATAGGCAGGAGAAATGCCTAGTTTGAGGATCCCACTGGGGCTTAAGCACCAGCTAGACACTTGGTGCCAGGAATCAGGAAGCTTTTTGCATGGCCACTGGTGGGAATGTAGGTGCCTAAGAGACTTTAGCAGCAAAAATTGGAACCTACTGTGGGAGGCGGCATCTGAGCAGTGGTTGTGAGGATCTACATTTTGGACTTAGGTGCCTAACATGGCAGTTAGGTGCCTATATCCCTTTGCAGATCTAGCCCTCAATGTCCACATCCGCAAGAGAAGTTGATCAAATATTATTCATGTAAAAATAAGAAGCGCACGACAAGTGACATCACTGGAAAATGCATCTTCATCAGGATTCACTTTCGGGTTTCATCAATATCACAGGAAAGTTACAGAAATCTGATCTCTTCTCTCAAAGATGACTGCACCAGCCCAGCCCATTAATTCATCCACTGACAGGTATAACACCATTTTAAAGCAGACCAAATGCTGCCAAATTCCATGTATTAGGCTATTTGTTTGGGGGCAATGGGTTTTAAAGGGGCACAGGATAAAGGAATCTCAAGTTACCACAAACTATCAGTGGCATGAATGTATCTACTGACTTTCAGCATTAGTGCCCTCTCTATGTATATAGTCAAAGGGGTTATACGTGAAAACAAAGCACAATGGCATATTGTACCCGCATCATATAGTATATAGTGGAAGCCTCCTATAGCAAAGTCAGTTAGAGGCCCATTGTAACTAGAATCGCAGCTTGCACACTGCAATCCACTTGAATAATTCGCTGGGGACCAATCTTGAGAGGCGCTGAGCTCCCTCCACTCCCTCTGCTCTCAATGGAAGCTAAAGGCGCTGAGCACCTTCCAAGATCATGTCCCAGAAGCAGGCACACTGTATTTAAAACAGGCAAGCAGACTGACTATCCCATCATAGCAAGAGGACAGCCGCTGTGAGCTGCATCTCCACAGAATGACTCACAGTGGAGCGCTGCTGACTGCGATTCTCAGCCTTTCTTGATGCTATCCAGACTCTAAGGAAGCCTTCACCGACCGCAGCCAGATCAGGCTTCACAAGAAGCACAGATTGGCTTTTTGCTGTGTAATAACTTCTCTCTTACCTGTCAAAAACTACTGCGGCGTAGGCTGGCTCCGCAAAGATGACATCTCCAGCCCAGAATTCCTTGGCTGCCTTCAACCCCCTGCCTTTGCCTTCCGAAGTGAACACTTCCACCATCTCCATCTCCCTAGGTGTCATGTCAGGGAAACTGGGCTTGCAACGCAGGTGTCCCACTGTGAGCCAGGTCCCTTGTCACTCCTGCTTTTTCAGCACCTTTGGGTTGCCACAGGACCAATCCTAGAAATAGATGGTCCCCATCACACCCACCTACATGAGGCTGTACTATTTTCCACTTGTGGGGGGAGCTTTTTACTTAATATAGTTGTAAGCCCGGAAATCAAAGGGGCTGGTCCCGTGTGACCAGCACTGTTTGCTTCATTAGGATACGCCTGTCTGAAAAACACGTTGGAATTATTTCCCCAAGCTGAAAGCATTTGTATATGTTATGGCCACAGCGTCTAATTAACCCTCTCCCATTGGAAAGAGCACATATTTTCTTTAGGAGGGTATTTTTAGAAACCACATGCTTCTGTCTGTCAGGAGCCAACAGCTGAGACAGTGGTAAGTGGTGGGCTGGTGTGTATCCTTTGCGCTGTCATCTGGTCTCTTTCAGTAAGGAAACAATGCTGCTTTCTTTTCCCCCCTCAGTGAGATTTACAGTAGGAGAGAGGAGGCCATAGTCAAATACTTGCCCCGAGTGCTGCTGGAGAAGACAGGCCTGGAAAAGACGCTTTTCAAATGCCAGCCAAGTGGCTTGTAGAAGCATGGGGAATATGCTGGAAGGACTGCAGAAACTTGGCATCTCTTTCAGCGCAGGCTTGCCATGTCAGCTATTCCCTCTGGTGTTTAATAGGCTAAGCTCAATGAAGTAACATGTCAGAGGATTAAATTCACCCAAGTTCCTCTCCACTGAATTGGATGGATGAATTGGGGCCACAGAGCACAAGAGAAAGAGAATATTACCTGTGAGTTCAATTAAATTGCAAAAATGGGGACCAGTTTCTGCTCTCCCCTTACAGCAACTGTAGTAACACGGTCATCAAGGGGTTAATTGGGTTACTCAGAGTTTTAGGGGGTGGAGCCATGCTCAACCCCTACCCATCATTGGTTAGTTAGTGGGAGTTTTCCCCAGCTGTGTTAGGGGGCGTGTATTTAATAAAGCAGCAAGTTCCTAGCCTGCAGTCCTGAGAGTAGGCTTGTTTTTGCTGCATTGAGTGGTGCCTTTACAAACCCAGTCAGTGTAAATCCAGAACAACTTCACTGAGGTTGGTGGGGTTGCTCCACATTCACACTGCTGTAGCTGAGGTGAAGAATGTGGCCCTGGACTCTCAATCAACTAAATATTGCTATTTAGCATCTTATAGTTCTTCAATGAGACTTTGCACTTTTAAAGTTCATGGTAACCTCACATGCCCATCACACTGGTATCTGACCCCATTTCATCCCAGGGTCTCAAAGTGCTTTATAAACACTCATGAATTTAGCTTCCCCGTTTCCCTCAGAGGCAAGTAAGGATTATACACTTTAACTGATGGGGAAACAAAGGCAACTTCATGAAAAAACTCATACAGATACAGACAGACATCATCTTCCTTTCCAAATGCAAACAGATGGACATCGCACCAAAAGGACTGAAGGTAAAAAATCCATTACAATCTACATACCATACAGACTATGCTGACAGCTTGTGCCACATGCTCTCAGAGAAACTGTGGAACCACCTGATCAACATCCTCTACAGCAAACAGGGAAAGATTAGGAATGAGCTCTCAAAACTGGATACTCACATAAAAAACCAACCTTCCACACAAACTTCCTCGTGGCTGGACTTTACAAAAACTAGACAAGCCATTTACAACACACACTTTGCTTCTCTACAAAAGAAAAAGGACACTAAACTATCTAAACTACTACATGCCACAAAAGGCCATAGCAATGGTTCCCTTAACCCACCCAGCAATATTGTTAATCTATCCAACTATACTCTTAGCCCAGCAGAAGAATCTGTCCTATCTCGGGGCCTCTCCTTCTGCCCCTCCACCCCCACGAACATGATACTGTGCTGTGGTGACCTAGAATCCTATTTTCGACGTCTCCGACTCAAGGAATATTTCCAACACGCCTCTGAACAACATACTAATCCACAGAGACCTTCCTACCAACACTACAAAAAGAATAATTCTAGGCGGACTCCTCCTGGAGGTCGAAACAACAGACTGGACTTCTACATAGAGTGCTTCCGCTGACGTGCACGGGCTGAAATTGTGGAAAAGCAGCATCACTTGCCCCACAACCTCAGCCATGCAGAACACAATGCCATCCACAGCCTCAGAAACAACTCTGACATCATAATCAAAAAGGCTGACAAAGGAGGTGCTGTCGTCATCATGAATAGGTCGGAATATGAACAAGAGGCTGCTAGGCAGCTCTCCAACACCACTTTCTACAAGCCATTACCCTCTGATCCCACTGAGGGTTACCAAAAAAACTACAGCATTTGCTCAAGAAACTCCCTGAAAAAGCACAAGAACAAATCCGCACAGACACACCCCTGGAACCCCGACCTGGGGCATTCTATCTACTACCCAAGATCCATAAACCTGGAAATCCTGGGCGCCCCATCATCTCAGGCATTGGCACCCTGACAGCAGGATTGTCTGGCTATGTAGACTCCCTCCTCAGGCCCTACGCTACCAGCACTCCCAGCTATCTTCGAGACACCACTGACTTCCTGAGGAAACTACAATCCATCGATGATCTTTCTGAAAACACCATCCTGGCCACTATGGATGTAGAAGCCCTCTACACCAACATTCCACACAAAGATGGACTACAAGCCATCAGGAACAATATCCCCGATAATGTAACATCAAACCTGGTGGCTGAACTTTGTGACTGTCCTCACCCATAACTATTTCACATTTGGGGACAATGTATACCTTCAAATCAGTGGCACCTCTATGGGTACCCGCATGGCCCCACAGTATGCCAACATTTTTATGGCTGACTTAGAACAACGCTTCCTCAGCTCTTGTCCCCTAATGCCCCTACTCTACTTGCACTACACTGATGACATCTTCATCATCTGGACCAGTGGAAAAGAAGCCGTTGAGGAATTCCACCATGATTTCAACAATTTCCATCCCAATATCAACCTCAGCCTGGTCCAGTCCACACAAGAGATCCACTTCCTGGACACTACAGTGCTAATAAGCGATGGTCACATAAACACCACCCTATACCGGAAACCTACTGACCATTATTCCTACCTACATACCTCCAGCTTTCACCCAGACCACACCACACGATCCATCGTCTACAACCAAGCTCTACGATACAACCGCATTTGCTCCAACCCCTCAGACAGAGACAAACACCTACAAGATCTCTATCAAGCATTCTTACAACTACAATACCCACCTGCTGAAGTGAAGAAACAGATTGACAGAGCCAGGAGAGTACCCAGAAGTCACCTGCTACAGGACAGGCCCAACAAAGATAATAACAGAACGCCACTAGCCATCACCTTCAGCCCCCAACTAAAACCTCTCCAACGCATCATCAAGGATCTACAACCTATCCTGAAGGACGACCCATCACTCTCACAAATCTTGGGAGACAGGCCAGTCCTTGCCTACAGACAGCCCCCTAACCTGAAGCAAATACTCACCAGCAACAACACACCACACAACAGAACCACTAACCCAGGAACCTATCCTTGCAACAAAGCCCATTGCCAACTATGCCCACATATCTATGCAGGGGACACCATCATAGGGCCTAATCACGTCAGCCACACTATCAGAGGCTCGTTTACCTGCACATCTACCAATGTGATATATGCCATCATGTGCCAGCAATGCCCCTCTGCCATGTACATTGGTCAAACTGGACAGTCTCTACGTAAAAGAATAAATGGACACAAATCAGATGTCAAGAATTATAACATTCATAAACCAGTCGGAGAACACTTCAATCTCACTGGTCACTCGATTTCAGACCTAAAGGTTGCAATATTAGAACAAAAAGACTTCAAAAACAGACTCCAACGAGAGACTGCTGAATTGGAATTAATTTGCAGACTGAATACAATTAACTTAGGCTTGAATAGAGACTGGGAGTGGATGTGTCATTACACAAAGTAAAACTATTTCCCCATGTTTATTTCCCCCACCGCTCCTCGGACATTCCTGTTAACTGCTGGAAATGGCCCACCTTGATTATCACTACAAAAGGTTTTCTCTCCCCCCTCGCCCCTGCTCTCCTGCTGGTAATAGTTCATCTTAAGTGATCACTCTCCTTACAGTGTGTACGATAACACCCATTTTTTCATGTTCTGTGTGTATATAAATCTCCTCACTGTATTTTCCACTGAATGCATTCGATGAAGTGAGCTGTAGCTCACGAAAGCTTATGCTCAAATAAATTGGTTAGTCTCTAAGGTGCCACTAGTACTCCTTTTCTTTCTGCGAATACAGACTAACACGGCTGCTACTCTGAAGAAAGGCACAGAGAGATGACGTGGTTAATTCCTTTGAGTAGAGTGACCAGATGTCCCGATTTTATAGGGACAGTCCCGATTTTTGGGTCTTTTTCTTATCTAGGCTCCTATTACCCCCACCCCCGTCCCGATTTTTCACATTTGCTGTCTGGTCACCCTACCGCTGAGTGACCCCCAGCCACTTGAGGATGAACTCTGTCTAACTAGGGTTGTATGAGCCAGGGAGAGAGAGCGTATGTACACACCCCTGCCATCTTCTGGACAATCCCAGAACTGCTCAGTTGTGCATCATAGGCTCAGGCCCAAGTCTAGAGACCTGCATGTGCCCAGTGTTCCTATTCTGCATTGACATGTGAGTGTATCCATCTCCAAGTAGTTCTTGGGGAGGTTCCTGTGGTGATCTGGATTTGTGTGAGGGACCTGCCAAAACCACTCAACTCCCCACCACACTCCTAACCTCTGCTTACAGTAGAAATCCTGCCCTTGGGAAGCAATGAATGGAAACAATTCTTTAATAGACAAAAATCACTTTATTTCTCATATTTTTTAATATGGTATCAACACATCAATAAAACTTGGGGTTTTATCAGTAACTATCTACCTGAGGCAGTAGGGCACACAAGAGCTTGGCTGGATTGAAAAATAAATAACTTCCCTTTGGAATGCAGACAGGAGCTGCTACATGAAGGACCCACTTACTAGCTAGGGAGTTATGAAGATCTCTGCTGGACAGTGTGCGGCACTTCTTGTGTCATCCCACCATCTTGTGCACCTATGAAAGGACCGGGCACAATATGACCCTTCTGTTTTGCTATTGCAATGCATAATATGGGGGCCTTTGTCTGCTAGTGCCCCCTTGTAGCACGATAGAGACCTACTGTGACACTCTATTCCT